ACGAAGGAGGAGGACGAAGAAGCAGGACTGGGAAGCGAGGCGGGGAGGCAGAGAGGGCGGCCGGAGCGCGGCCCGGTCGCCCACCCGGCCCGAGGGGACGGACGCTCACCCGGCTGCCGGCCCGACGCTTCCTCCCGGCTCTCGGCACACGCACGCGCTCCACGCGGGCCGCCGCCGCTCCGGCTCTGGCCGCCGCCGCCGCTGCCGCCGCCGCTGCCTCGGCTGGGCGCGGTCACGTGACGGGCCCCGCGGTCCGCGCGGGGCGGGGGGACGGGGGAGGGGAGAGGGGACGGGGGCGCCCGCGCTCCGCTCGCTAGCGCCGCTCGGACCGCCGAGGGTGGGGCGGGCGCGCTGCGGCGGAGGGCGGGAGGGGGCCTCCCGGCCGGCGCGCGGAGACTAAGGGGTGGGCAGAGCCACCGAGGGGCGGGGGCGGGGGCTGGTCCCGCCCTCTTTTCCTTCCCCCTCCGCTTCCTAGCTGGAGCTCCCTTCCCCTTCTCTCACCCCCCCTTTCCCTCTCGCGACGCCTCTGATTGGCTGGGTCGTTCTGACGTATGTGTTTCCATGACGTGTGGGGGAGGAGGAGGAGAAGAAGGGGAGGGGGAATCGTACGGGAACACTGGGTGGTGACATTGTCCGGGCGGTTGCCGGTGCTCGGGGGCCGGGCCAGTGGGGGGGCGACATGCGGAGAGAGGAGAGCAGGAAGTGGGGCGCCCTGCGCCTGGGGAAGGACAGCGGGGAAGGAGACCAGTTGACTACCCCTCCCTCCCAATCCTGCCCCGGGGGCGTGACGCGACTGCAGCGGGGGGGGGGATCCCTCCCTTCTGGAGGGGGGCGCTCCCTGGCGCTGCGGGGGGAGGGGGGGAAGGAGAACACCCCCCCGCCTCCGCGCGCTTGGGTTCCCCACCCTGGGTCGGCAGGCGCTAGCCTGGCAGCGCTGCAGCGCCCAAAGGGTTAAACCGGCGCGGTCCCCAGGCTGGTGCAAATGGGCCGGGAGGGATCTGCCCCTGAAATCTCGGTGCTCCATTGTCCCTCTGCCCATGTGCCGAGCTGTCAGGGTCGGGTGCACTTGTAGCATCTCTGAGGTCTACAGGGTCCTTTTTTCTCAAGGAAAAGAAGAGGGGTAGTGGGTGGGAGAGACACCGCATAGGGTACTGAATTTGGGAGCGATCAGGGCACCTGCTGTAAAAAATAAATAACCAGAAATGCAGCATCCCCTGCAGTTATGAGAGTTTGGGATTAATAGAAAATCACCAGTTGCAGGGTATTTTTTGTTCTAAAACACATAGGTTTTTTTTTCTCTTCATATTCACTCTCTCTCCCTCTCTCTCTCTCTCTCTAACATATCCATATCCATGCATATATACGTATATCCATCCATCTATCCATCCTTCCATCCATATATGGTTTTCTATAAAACCTATACATACATAAGTTTTCTATAAAACCTCCCCCTCCACCACCCCCCTCCCCAAGATACTGCATTTTGTCTCCGGTTCATTACCTTTGCTTGCACTTAAAGCATCATTGCCCAGACCTTGTCTTCGGGACTCTCGGCAGCAGCAAAAATCGTGTACGGATGTGATACACAACCCCGTTTTGTGAGAGCTTGAAGATGAGTTCTGCAGAGTTTCCTCCTTTTTTTTTTTCCTTAGCTGCAGGGCAGACAAAATTGATGTTGGCAACACCTTCTAAAAAGCTACAGACATAAAGTACTGTATTATCCTGATCTACACAAAAGACTTTTTTTTTAAAACAGCTGTGCCAGGATAGCGGAGATAGGTTAAAAAAAAATGCCCAGCAATTTTAGAATTTGCTCATGCTACTTAGGTTTATTCTTTTGGAATAATGCATGTTTCATTTTCAATGCAGTTTTCCTGTCTCACCAGGTTATTCTCCTAGGATAGCATCAGTCACCAGAGTTTTGCCCTTGACTGTTGAAAATTAGCATTGGCCAGACTAATATAGCCCCCCTTCTCTTTGATCACTTTGAGGAAATTGTTTTGTATAGTCCAATACATCACTGCCCCCTCATAATGCTATTTCAAAGCTTCGTGGCAGGAAAATAGATTAGTAAAGTACAATGTTGCTTTAGTAAACTTGAGGATTTTCCTCCTCTGAAAATTTTTCAAAAGGGTTCAGAGACATTTAAGAATCTTTGACTTTCCTCCTGCTTTTCTCCAAGGAAGTCTCTGAAGAAAATTCAATTGTACGTTTTATTTTAATCAAGTATTTGACATTAAAGTTATGTCTGAATCATTGCTACAGTACACTAGCAGAATGGATAATGAGTAAACTAGGATCTGTTCATTTTGTTGATCTGTTGCAGTTCAAATTTATTTATTACATGCACTTGAAGTTCTGTGGTCATGAAAATGACCCAAAGTTCTAATTTTGGGTTTACACAGAGCCTCTTTTTACTGGTAATCATTTAAGTCCATTATATTTCGTGTATATCAGCAAAATAATTGTGTGCCTCAGGAGATACTGTACTTTTCATCCAAGTTGTTTTTAACAATTTCTTCAGACAACATTAAAAATGCAGTTCTAAAGAATAATCATAGGATTCACTTAGAGATGCAAAATTTTTAAATGTCACATAAGTATTAGTTATCACTCTCGGTATTTTTCCCAAAGGATTAACGCAAGAAGATTAGTGGTATTTGGTGGTGAAGTGGGTGGAGTACTGGTCTTGGAATCAGGAAGACTAATCTTCCTAAGTTCAAATCTGGCCTCATACTAACTGTGTGACCCCAGGCAAGTCACCTAACCCTGTTTGCCTCAGTTCCTCATCTGTAAAATGATCTGGAGAAAAAAATGGTAAACCACTCAGTATCTTTCCCAAGAAAACCCCAAAATGCAATCATGGAGAATTAGACATGAAGAGGCAACAAGCTTTCTCTACCATATATCAAGAAAATATTCTTTGGCTTAAATTTTCCCTTTGAACATTAATGCAACATAGCAGCGATTTGAACAAGCTGAGTTTAAAAATACCACATATACATACAAAATACCACAAATACATAAATAGGTATATCTTCATAATCTTAAAGTTAGATTGCTTTCTTATTATTTAATATTATCTGGTAATATTAATACATACTGTGAAGCTGCATATTCATAAAAGTAATTGGGTCCTTAAGTATCGAATCAACTAATATTTTAACAGACTTGATTTTAATTAAATTCTTATAACATGACCATCAGAACAGAAATATAAAGCAAGGCCATGTGCACCAAATCATAAATTCAGATTTTTTGAGTGTGTTTGGTTAAAAGTGGGAAGGAACCTAACATTTTAGCATCATTGCTGCAAATTCTATCAATTCAAGACCAAGCATACTCACATACTCTTAGTCACTGAGGAAAGTTTCCTAATATTCTAAATGTGGCTGAGGCTAAAGGGTTGCTGCATTAGGCATCTGACACTGATAGACTTCCCTCTGTGTGCCATGTTCTGCCAACTTGAATCTGGCAAAATCTGGAAAAATCAGGAGAACATCAGTAAAAATTCATCCAATATACCAGTAAACTCTTGGACCATATATTCATACTCTTTGATTACTGCCACTCCCTATAAACAGGTCATTTTATTTTAGAGAGGTCAGGTTATTTTAGAAAATGCTGAAGGCAATTGACAATATATGAGAGGGAAAGAGAGGGAAATGCAATTCTTCGGAAGAAGATGCCACCCAATTACAGAAAGTTCCACTGGCCCACATCCCTTGGGTGAGATGGCAGAAGCGATACTTTGCTAAAAATAAGATAGAAATGATGATCGCTATGCGTCATTGCATGGAAAAACATTTTTTCAATGAATTTAATATCAGGTAGTCCAAAGGTTTTATAGAATTAAAATTCAAAAGGCAAATGTGTTTTCACCATTCATTCAAAAAAAAAAATGTATTGAGCTCCTAAGTATTTATTCACATAAGGAAATAAAAAGAAGTCTAAGAACTTCACACACCAACCCCGACACCAAAGTCCACATATTCACACACAAAGAGCTGGTAATGTAGCCAAGGAGGGGGAAAAAAAAACAACCAGCATTCATCTAACGGAGGACAATTAAATGCTCAACCATTTGGAGATATAATTGTGGTTATAGTGCTTGGAGAATATAACATGGAAGAAGTGGACCTTGAAAAGTGAGTAGGATTTAAACAATCAGGAAGAGGGAAGACATGTTGCCATTGGAGGAGGAGAAATGGAAAAGGAAGAGAATGAGTTAAAACAGAGTACTTAGGATAATAAATATGGCATGTTCCCATTCTTTCCTCTCTTATTTTTCACAGGACAATGGTAATAATAATTTGTGTGTGTGTGTGTTATATAGATATACACATATATGTATATAGTGTGTATATATACATACACATATGTATTCATATTTGAAAAGTATCTCATATATACATATATATAATATGAATGTGTAACATTTACCCATTTTGAATATATGATTGTCACTACCCTCTTTCCATAAGTGAGACTTTCACTTCAAGTTCTCCCAACAGTAGCAGTAACTTGGGTTGTATCTTCCATTTCAACAAACATTTTCTAAGTGCCTACTAGATACAAGGGAGATTTCAGAGCCAATATAACATAGTGAATAGGGAACTGGCTTTGGAATCAGGAAGACCTAGATTTGGGAGTCCTACTCTGACACATATTAGCTATGTAAGTCACAACCTCTCAGTGTAACAGGCAACTTTCCAAGGCTGTAAATTATGGACCATTTGCTAATCTACATTGGTGGAGGGATTTCCACACCAGAAAAGTTTCTATACAAATGAAATTATAGGCCCGGATCTACTTCAGGCTCGTCTGTAAAGAAGAAGACAACGACAGCAACAACTTTGCCAAGTACCAGGGATGCAGAGACATTGAAATAATTCATAAACTTGTATTCTATACCCTTTATCATCAAGAGTATGCATTTTCAAGTAGGAGAAGACATTTTTAAGTGGTGGGCTGCTATTCTGGGGATAGTCTGATAATGATACTTGTTTTTTTTTCCTTCTGAAGGAAGTTATCTGGTCCAAACCAAAACTGAGTCCATGACCTTGGTTCCCCTAATACGGTGAAAGACAGCAGATTTCAAATTTGATGTGGACTACCTTGCTATAGTCTTTCTAGACCACAGAGAGGAGTAATGTCTATGAAGAATA